AAGACTCACACCCCGAGAGACTAAACCCAAGCCCCAAAAAATCCTAAACCCGTTACAACCCTAAACAACCCTGAACCCTATACCTTATTAGGGGCTCATCATGCTCCTGCTGATGAACTGCTGCTCCTCCCAGTCTGTCCCCTGCTTGCAGCTTCAGGGCTTTAGGGTTTGGGCTTTAGGGTTTAGGTCTTGGGCATTTTCAGGTGGTTTAAGGTCTCCGTCTTCTTGGGAGATCAAAGTTAAAAGTTTAGGACTGAAGAACTTTGGCCTAATGTTTGGGGTTTGAGGTTTCCGTTTTGGGAGTGTATGGATTGTACATACATAGGATCTGGTGAGGATGTAGTTGGTTCAACGTGTAAGGGCGGCAGGGTTATAGAAAGCTTTGGGGCTCAGCCTAAACCCGAAACCCGAGGGTTAAGGGGCTTGCGGGCTTCAGGGTTGAGGTGTTTAGGGAGTGCGTTGTGTTGGCTGTAGAGATGGGAGCTTCCGAAAATTAGGGGTACCTCATTTTGGGATCCTTAAAATAGGATCCTACGTTTTAGGGTACTTCCCCTATTTTCGGAAACTCCCAGATTGCCACTAGCTTCTGCTCTGATCCACGCAGCCGGGTAGAGCGACAAGTAGCTGGTTTCGGCCGTGAAAAGAAAGATAGGTTGATATTCAGAGTAACAATGTGCCAATGGAATAACAAGGAGGAGCTGGGCTGACGGAGGTTTTCTCTGTAGACAAGCACTGGTTGGCTCTTTCCGACAGGTCGACAGAAGGTCCCGTGCATTAGGATGTGGGCTTGGCTACAAGTCTGAAGATTCCGATTGCCTTCGGGATTGCAGATTAGGGTTTAGTGTATGGGGTTTTAGGAACATGTTTGACCAGACGTCTCGCTGTGGGGACTAGGGCTTGGGGCTTTAGGGTCTTAGCGATCTTTCGAAGTGAGCTCCACACCTTCTTGACAAACTCTGACAACCCCTTGAACGCAAGATCCGCTCCGCCCGCTCTCGACAAACCCCTAACGCCGCAAAAGCAAATATTAACTCCGAATCCCGTGTAGTTATGTTTCAGTTTCTGCAGCTGGGGAAACCTTCAGCCGCAGCTCTAATTCTTGAGTGCATAACCTTGTTGCCTTGGGGTACTACTATAACCCCTATCATCCCCTATCTAATCCATGAACCTTTATTTAGTTCCATATATATATACATACATATCTATGTGTAGAGAAAGAGAGGGGGAGCGAGAGAGATAGAGAGCACGCATATAGGTGGAGAGACAGACACAAAGATAGATCGCCACGCCCCTATGCTTTGAGGCCTTGAATTACCTGCTGACAAACTTTTCGCGCCAGCTGCCAAAGCCTCTGCTGCAAGGCAGCAAAAGCGCACATACACATATGTATATTATAAATACATATATATATATATCCATACTAAAGGATCCTAAAGATGCATACCTTGAAAGAGGATTTGTGGTTCAGGGTTTAAGCCCTTATCTTAACCCATACAACGGCTCTTTTGCGGGGCAGGTGGGGGGAGGGGGCGGAGGGGAGGCAGCGGCTGTCTTCCGGGTCTTGATGTATACATTCAAAAAGTTGTGGATTTTGCGGTGTATTCAGGTTTGTTGCTTCACAGGGATTTAGGGTGCTGGTACCGTCAAAAAGCTTACCATGTGCTTTCTATGTATCTACCTATCTATATTTATCTGTCGATATACATATACATATATATCTGTCATATGCTTTTGTAATACGGGTAGCTGCAAGTCAGTTCCTCTAATATTAATCGGGCCGCCCAGAAGTAGTCCCGATAGCGATAGAAGTATACTATAACATACCCAAATTCTGTTCTATCCACGTAACACGTAGCCGTTCACGACCGTGACACAATTCTCGTCTCAGCAGCCTCTTTGGCCTCTTTGGGACTTCCAAGCTGCAGCTCATGCTTGGAAGGGCAGGGGACTTAGTAAGTAGGTTATAAGTAGAGTTATAAGTACCCTAAATGGAGCTACCCCAACTATAACCCTACTTATTACCTACTTACTAAGTCCCCTGTCCTTCCAAGTGGCTTTTGGGTTTAGGATTCCAGGTTTTAGGCTTAGCGAATTAAGGTAAAAGCCAGAAAGTTGGAATATTATTATCCTAACCCTTCTATGGTAAATTATAGGGTATCCTACCATGAAACCATATTCCAACTTTCTAGAGTTCCCTGTATCTGTTTCAGGTGGCTGGAGTCCGAGGGATTGGTATGCAGGCATTTAAGATTTGGTTTCCTCCTAGACCCCGTAAAGTATGCTAGCAATACCCCGGAACCGTGCACCCCAAACCCGAGACCCCTAAACCTGAACTGCGAGTGCCTTAATCATAAGAGTTTCTCAAGTGTTGTTAGAATTCGGTATATTATGGTTCTACATGGGGCTTGAATTATTAGTTAGAATAGACTTTCGTTGTCTTTTCTGGTGTAGTGTACTTTTACGGAGGAACCCGAAGGAATATTCTTGGGAATAGTTCAGGCCCCTATACTTCGTTTTTCGAGTCCTTCTACGACTACTGATCTCTACATACGTCGGCTATACTACTATTTGCTTAAGAAACCCCCCAAAAAATAAAAAAAAAACATAGTCCCTATATAACCCCCATAAGGAATATTTTTTTTTTATTTTTTGGGGGTTCTTAAGCAAATAGTAGTATATGCCCTAACTCTTTCCGAACAGAGCCGTCGTCCGACCACATGACATAAGAAGCAAGAGGGTATGGGTTTAGGGTCTAGGGTTAGCTGATCTTAGGTCTGTGTTGCGCGGACCGCAGCGTGCTATCCGCCTTGACAGAGACCCGGACACCTACTTATTTGGATTAGGGTTTGAGCATTCAAGCCCCTAAGCCCTAAACCCAGATGCTTATTTGGACTTGGGTTTAAGCTTTTTAAGCAGGCTGTTTTGCTCTCAGATTGTGCGTGAGAGGAACTTGGTCAAGCATCTTTAGATATGTGCGGTGCAGGATTTAGGGCTTGGTACCGGGTTGAGTGTCTACCGGGATTTGGACATAGTCTTCGTTTCTTGCATGCAAGATTTAGCGATGTAAGGCTGTCCTTCCAGAGGGTTCGACACACAGGCGGCTCGAGAATTTTCGAGACGATGGAGTCGGGATTTTCTGCAGCCATGACGCTCAGCTTTAAGCCGTAACTCTGACTCCTGAAAGACTGGCGAAGGTGCATGCTGCAGTACCGGGTGAGACCCTAAACCCTAAGCCCCCAAGGTGTATGAGGGTTTCAGGATTCGCGTTCTGTAGCCATGCGTCAAGGCATATTATATTGACTTCCTGCTTTGGGCTTGAACCAGAGCGCCCGGCATTTATTTACCATGGGTTGGAGACCACGAACTCTTTACATGCGAAAGGATTTGGCTTGGTTCCTGCCAAGGGATGTCATTTAGGCCATAGTAACTTCCTATCGATCCGCACTATGGTAGAGCCCAGTTATAGGGCTTGGGGGATCTGTGTGAATCCCTAGCCTAAATACTCGCAAGTTTCGCTCAACCTAGCGAGTCCCCTAAAAGAAGCATCAAATGCTTTAGATACCACTAATAAGAACAAGATGGTTGATGATAGTAGCAATCGACATAATATGACTTGCAAAATGTGAGTATATTCTAACACCTGTTTACTAAGGGGCGTAGAAGTTCATGTCTGGTAGCCGCTACATGGCCCTACATTTGAGGTATTTTGGAGCTTCATCACCACTTTCGGTTCATCATCGGCGATCGAGACATGTGCCACTGCGGCACTGCGAGAAAGTTCAGGATTGAAGCGGAGGGGGATGTCCCAAGAGAGCCCAATACACCCAATACTCCTTCAAACAAGGAATGTACCTGTAGATATCAGGTGCAGAAAATGATGATTTGGGGAAAATTCTTGAATTACTCTGAAAGCCTGCCAGCTGTGCGAGTACAGATTCGCAGTGGCGCTGATTTAGTTCAAGATCCCTACTACAATTCAAATCAATGCCTGTGGATTGGCTAGTCTGCTATTCCCAGCGACTCCAATATCCCTTAATTGAGGAATATTCCTTAAATCATGATTCAGAAGGGATCCTACTATAATGTACGGTATATTCCTTAATTCAGGGATGTTGGAGTCTCTGTGTTGTCAGGGTGGCAGCCCGGGGAGCTAGAGGCAGCCCTTTCAGGGTTTCGGGTTTTTGGGTTTAGGGTTCAGTATACTTGGATGATGAGTGCAGGTTTGCACTATGGGGACTTGGGACATGCGGAAAACGAGTTCGCAACTTTGAGCAGTTAGTGTAAAGGTACTATGTGACCTCCAACATCCTCCATCCACTGACGAAGCCGCCCCTGGCGAAAAGCCGGCACCTGGGCGCTACTTTGAGAACGGGCAAATGGTTCAGGGTTTAGGTTTGGGGTTTAGGGACGGGGAAAAGGGGTTTCCAAAAATTAGGGGGTACCTCATTTTGAATTTCGTGGTCCTTAGAATATGGATCCTACTATTTAGGGTACTACTTTTTCGGAAACTCCCAAACAGTGCTACCCAGAGCAGCGAATCGAGATGCCTGCCCACGTCTTGATTACGAAGATTTCCCGTAACCTACAGGAACCTGCTTTTTCGTAGAGCCCCTTTAAATCCGACCAAAAGCAGGAAATGACGGGTTGTTGCCGATATCACCCATTAATTTCGTGTCGGGATTCGAGCTTTTACACTCTAGAGTCTTTGGGTTCAGGGCTTTGGGTTTGGGGGTGTAGGTTGAGAGTAGAAATTAGGGCGGGGTCATGTTGTGTCAGGTTGGGCATTGAAGGTGTAGGTCGAGTGGAGAACCTGCAACCTCCGAATGGGTACAAGGTGCCTGACAAATTCGTACTGTTATCACTTTACCGTCTTGTACAGAGTTGGTCTAACAGCCACTGCCAAAACAAACCTGTTGTCATTATCAGATCCCTAAATTATGAACCCGGAACCCTAAGTTACAAACCTTAATGTGGCTGGCTGCCTTTACATTACCAGCCCAATGAGCGGAACTCTTGTCTGCACGGTAGGCAGCCCAAGGTACTCTTACGCGGAAGTGGCAGGGCCTGTGCGCGCCACCTTCTTCGTGAGTTCCTGGGCTGGCCAAAGCCGAGGGTGCTGATGATTAACCCTAAACCCCCTGAACCCTACGAGTTTAGGAGTTCAGGGTTCGTGGCTTGGGGTTCAGTTAGGCAGAGCATCTCGGTGGTGTTGTGATGAAGCCGAAGGTATGCCAATGTCACAGACTGCACTTATTGAGTGGGTCTGAGTGGTTCAGAGGGACTTCCAAAGTCCCTTAAACTAAGGAATACTTGGATGGGCAGGGGACTTAGTAAGTAGGTTATAAGTAGAGTTATAAGTACCCTAAATGGAGTTACCCCAATTATAACCCTACTTATAACCCTACTTACTAAGTCCCTAAACCCTAAACCCCATAGATCCCCTTTAAGGAACCCTATAGATCCCTTTAAGGAGCCCTTTAAAGAGCCCTTACTAAGTCCCCCAAAGCCCTTCCAAGTATACCGTAACTCATAGTAGGGCTCCCTAATCTGGTCTAAGGATTAGGGTTTAGGGTTTAGGGTTTAGGGTTTAAGGGTTTAGGGTTTAAGGGTTTAAGGGTTTAGGGTTTAGGGTTTAAGGGTTTAAGGGTTTAGGGTTTAAGGGTTTAAGGGTTTAGGGTTTAGGGTTTAGGGGTTTAAGGGTTTAGGGTTTAGGGTTTAGGGTTTAAGGGTTTAAGGGTTTAGGGTTTAAGGGTTTAAGGGTTTAGGGTTTAGGGTTTAAGGGTTTAAGGGTTTAGGGTTTAGGGTTTAAGGGTTTAAGGGTTTAGGGTTTAGGGTTTAAGGGTTTAGGGTTTAGGGTTTAGGGTTTAAGGGTTTAGGGTTTAGGGTTTAAGGGTTTAGGGTTTAGGGTTTGGGGGGAGTCTGGGTCTATGCCAGAAGCCATGGTTGGAAGGCTGCGAGTTTTAGTCTGGGTCGTGATACAGCGGTGGGTTCTCCCTAAACCCCTAAACCTTGAACCCCTCAACCCTTATAAACCCAGGTGTCTAGGCCTGGCGTTTGAAAGAGTTGTTGTCGTCCCGGGTTTAGGCACTGTCAAAGCGGAAAAGGAGGGACCCTTAATGGGGACCCCCACCCTATAATGGGCTATAATAGTTGTATGAAGGGTATATACCTAGGAGTCCTTATTAAGGGTCCCGCCTTTTACCCTTGGATTGTGGATTAGAGGTTGGATTTCTTGCAGCATCTTAGGCTGGATTGGTGGACTTTGCATTTTTTTGGGGGCCAGTATCATCCCCTCTAGAACTGGAAGTTTAACGCTTCTGGGCATCAAAGCAACTGGAACATCTTGCATGCTAAGACCTCTGACCAGAGTGATGTAGCCTCCGAATGTGCTCGACACCTAAACCCTAAACCTGAAATCCTAAACCTTCTTCAACCCGTGGTGTTAAGGGTCTTTGTATGTTGGGTTGAGGATGTGTGAAGCTTGTGAGACAGAGGGGCCAGGATTCGGGCGCACTTCAATATGTTGGTTACGGAGACAAGAATGCAAAGGTCTGAAAGATATATATATATATATATATATATATATATATATATATATGGGCCGGCTCAGGACTCGCATACATACGGTTGGTGATACAAATACTGCATTACCTTAATGACCCTGGGCTATGGAAATTATGGTATATTCCTGATTATGGGTAATGCAGGATTTATATCACCAACCGTAGAACTTATGTTACAAAAAGCAACAAAACTTCAGTTCTAGATCTTAAACTTACTTCTCCAATGGGAGAACTTTAAACTTGTTGGCCCTATATATCTAATCTACCTCAGAAAGTTTGAACTTTCTTTGGCTCTGGTTATTGAAGAAGAGAGTAAAGCACCAGTATTATTTGTGTTTCGTGAGGACTCAACACCCTTAAATCCTTAAACTCCGAAATCTTAGGGGCACAGAAGCAACACCACTGCAAACCCCAATCCGGAGTCTTAAACCTGAACCGGTAAACCCCAAATTGTTCACCCGTAAACTTCAAGCAGAGGTGGGCTACGGGCCCTACATCCTAAAGGCCCTGAGCCCCTGAACCCTGAACCGAAACTGAGTCCCAAGGTCACTACTGGGGCATGCCCTTTGAGCACTCCGTCAAGAGCTTGTCGAAGCATGCTCAGCTGGCAGATCAGAGAGACTTCAAGCAGACGAGCTACTGGCCGGATCCCCATTGTTTAGGGCTCGGGTTTATGTTTTCATGGCTATCTGTGAGGGTTTGGGGTCCTACCCTTATGCTACAGCCTAAGCTCTAAACGCCTACGATCCTTGGCGCATTTGATACCTGAGCTGGCAGTCGGCCGGAGTGTGGCCTTATAGCTGCTAAATCATTAATATATGGGCCTTAATAAATGCCAATCCTATTTTGAGGGTTCCTTGTTATAAGACTAAGTATAGTATAGTCATCATGGCCCCAATATTATCCATGGGGAGGATGTTGCTATTGTTAGTAGCGGCACACATAGTAGAAGAAGCAGGAGGAGAAGGACTTGGAGTCCTGGAAGAGGAGAAGGAGGAGTCAGGCAAAGGAGGTGGAGCAGGAAGGAGCAAGAGAGTACCGGCAGCAAAAGAGGTTGCAGCAGCAGATTGTCGACATCTGTTCTTTCGACCTGGTTTCCGAGCAGTGCACAAGAGGCTGTTGACAAACCCTCAAACCCGCGCACTCCAAAGACCCTCAAAACTCTAAACTCCCTAAAGCCTGAACCCCGAAGTAACAAATTACCAATATTAAGGCCCCTAAACTAGAGAACCCTTCAATCATAGCCCCTTTAGAAGAACCCTAGGAGATCCTTTGAAAGGAAGGATATGCTTATTAGTAAGGCCCCTTGAACCCCTACCCTGAAGCCCCTGGCAGGGTAAACTCCATAAACCCTGAACCCCAAGCCCTGAAGCCCAAAACCCCTAAACGCTAAAGCACAAAACCCCAACCCGAATCCGAATCCTTACCCTCAAGCCTTAAAAGAACCCTAGGAGATCCCTTCAAAGGAACGGGTATTCCTATTAGTAACACTCAAGCCCCTGGGTAGGGTCTGCTCCTTTGCGATCAACCAACATTCCATCGAAGAAGAGTTGGGGCCCCTCGTCCGCTGATTTTTTTGTTGAAGGGTTTTAGGTTTAGGGGTTTAGGGGTTTAGGGTTTAGGGTTTAGGGTTTAGGGTTTTAGGTTTTAGTGTTTTAGGGTTCAGGGTTTAGCGTTTAAGGTTTATTATGGTTCTAAGGGGGGATTCCTAAAGGAGACCTGTATGGGTTCTACAAGGGGTTGTGATGTGATGTGATCAGAAAAGCCGTGCCAACGGCACGTGGGATCTGTAAGAGGTATTACAGTCCCGTTTAGGGCGTCTTAAGGGTTCTATATATTCTGGATGCGTTCCGGAGGGGGTTCCTGAAGGGTTTTGGGGTTTAGGGTTTTGGGTGCAGGGTTTAGTGTTTAAGGTTTTCCTACTATTATAGGCTCATTAGGAATTATCTTTTATTTTTGTTCACATAGGACCCAAGAGAATATTGAACATAATTTGTTATTATGGTTCTAACGGGGGTATAGCTGAAGGGTCTTGGGTTCTATGAGGTCTCAACCCAAACGCTGAAACCCTACACCCTAACGTCTCTACAAGGGCTCCATTATGAGGGCTTTGGTGCACCAGGTTTTCCGGGTTCGGTGCAGTCACATAGAGCTTTGGGTTCAGGTGTGTAGTGCCCTGACAAAGGTGTAGTGCGTACAGTTGGTGTAAATTGGTGCAGCTGCGATGCAGGGTGCCGGGTTGGAATTGAAAAAGGGCTAGGCAATACGACACAGCATACCAGGCGTGGAGCTGAAAGCTGTGTGCATTGTCATGAGTTTCCTGTCAGCACAAGATTCAGCTATAGCATGATGCCCCAATGCCCTATTCTAACAAACCCTAAACCCTAAACCACTGAGGCCTTGATTTTGTTTGGAACTGATCTAGGACCTTAGGACCGCAACTTGTGAGGCTTCCTTAATTGGGTGGTTGTCAAATTATTAGGGCCCTCTTTTGGGGTCCTTAATATAAGATGGCACCTAATACTTAGGGTACCCTAGAAGGGACCCTAACTTGGAGAACTACCCATGTGTTTCTGATTTTGGGATCGAGAATCTTACAGAACAGGCTCCCCGAGAGACTCACAAGCCGCTTGATTTAAGGAATATACCTTAGAGCATAATAAGGACTGTCGTAAACTTTTTGAGGTATATTGGCTGCCTCATAGGATCCTAGATATGGACAGAACTGGTTAAGCCAAAAAGTGAACGAGAATGAAGGCTATATTGGCAAAACTAGGGTCCCTTTTTGGGTTCCCTAAATATAAGGTGCCGTGTTATATTAAGGACCAAGAAAGGGACCCTCATTTTGACAACCACTCATATGTAAAGCCAGGAGAACCTGCAACCGAGGTCCCCAAGCCCCAACTCAGCAAAGAAGCTAGGGGTGGCGACCTTTTTCAGTCGTCGTTCTACATGGCGCTGGTGGATCCCAGGAGATCGGTCTGCACAAGACCTACCTTTGGTTAGTAGCGAATGGAAGAATGGTAGTAATAGTAGTTATAATTGTATCCCATTCCTCCATGCCCTACTAACCAAAGGTACGAAGAAAGCTTCGGGGTCGAGGAATGGAACGTTCAGGATGTGTTAGCTATGTGATGTTTTTGTTTGCGTCTCTGGCTTCAGGGTACATGGTTTCTTCGTGAGTAGATGCAGGTTCAGCAATGCTGGAAGGCTAGCCGGCTAGCCACATATCCGCTTGTCAGCAAATTTCGCCGACTTTGCGTCCGGAGTGTAGACTATGGTCTCCTTAGGATTAAGGAAATTGTTGTTTCTATTTACACCAAGACAATATCAGATCTATGGTCTCTATTGTGGTTAGACAGGGGGTATAGTATTTGGATGCGTTGGAGGCATTCAGAGGTCTTTCTCTGGCGGAATGGACTTTATGGTGCGTCAAGCTTGGTACAGGTTCAGAGTTGTGAAAGCACCTACTTGCGAGCTACTGTTATTTACCAGTTCGTCGTCGTCGTGCGGCTCGTGCCAAGGGGACGAACAGGAGGAGGAGGAGGAGGAGGAGGAGCATGAAGAAGTGGCTGTGGTTGTAGCGGGCGGCTGTGCTGGTATCACTGCCGTTCGTCGCTGCAACATTCTGTTACGGCTACTATGTTCAACTAAACCAAGAGTTTCCGGAATGAATAGCTGGTATTCACTTTGCCGTCTTGCTGTCGATGTGCTGACTCAGGACCCGAGCCACTGTCATGTTACTGGACGACGAAGCTACGCCGCTGACGCGGGTGTGGTGCCTCTTTGAGGCGCGCAGAACCCGGAGACTCCAATATCCCTTAATTCAGGAATATTCCTTAAATCATATTAGGGATCCTACTATAATTTAGGGAATATTCCTTAATTAAGGGATAGTGGAGTCTCTGGGAATGGAAGTCCGGAAGCTCTGAGTCCAGACCCTAAGCCGACAGCTTGAGACTAAGACCGGGAGGCTCCGAGTGCATGATGCAGGGGTCGGACGAATTGGATGTTTTACAACCCCATTACCATATATATATATATATGTATGTATGCATGTATGTATGTATGTATACATATGTATGTATTACATATGTATGTAGAAATTGTTCATATATATGTATATATATATGGACGCAAACCATCAAAGTAGTTTCATACTGTAACATCCTTGTTCTAAGAGTTCACTTACGCCACTTTTCATGCTCCCTGGTATACCTCCAACTCCTCTGCGAACCTGACCCCATGCACCTGAAACCCCGAACTCTCAAACCCGAAGCTCTACGACTCTACAACTTAAACATGCTTAAAGCCTGAACCCTAATTAACCATTAAACCCCGCTCCTAAACCCCAAAGCCCCCAAAGCCCGAACACGTCAGGTGCTGCAGACATTCATCCTATCGCACCAGCAGCCCGGATTTCAGGCGCATGCTTCGAAAGCGAAGCCCTAACCCTAAACCCTCTACACGGTTTAGGGTGTGGGGTTCATTGACCTCTACTCCCAAAGGCCTATCGTCCCAAACCCCTACTATATCTAAACCCTGAGACCCGAAGCAACACCCAAGCTGAATGTCAGTCTATGTTTTTTGCAAAATGTGACAACCCTTGTGGCCTCTAAGGCTCTAAGGCCTATTCAAAAAAATTAAAGGCCCCTATTCCGTATCAGGTCTCTCCGTTTTGACTTAAGAGTCGTCTCGACCCGTATGGGACAATATGGGTTTTGGGGTACATAATAGTTTTCAAAGATGATGACAACAAAATGTTTCTGCATGCCTGAATTTTCTATACCGCCACTTTTGGATTGGCTCTTTGCGGTAGGCATGGACCTCATGCTTTTTGTTCATCAAAGGCCCGCGGGCCAAGAAGCCCCAAACCCGGAGTCATGGCCCCCTAGTAGCCCCCTAGCCCTAGTTTTAAGTCCATGCACCCCCATTTGGGTGGTTGTCGAAATCAGGGTCCCTTTTGGGGTCCTTAGTATAATACGGCACCCAATACTTAAGGTACCCAAAAAGGGGCCCTAATTTTGACAACTACCCATTTAGTCTTGAGATCACCTGCCATAACTACCTGTAAGAATTGAAACGGTGTGGAGGATCTTTGCATCACAGCTCTCGGTGTAGGGCTTCATTCAGTTTGTTTTGTTTGGCCGGAGGGGGGGGGGGCGATCCTGAACCGTGAACGCTGAGCCAAAAACCAAACCCCAAACCTCCAACTTTACCAGAACCCTAAACCCCTAAACCCTAAACCCCTAAACCCTAAACCCTAAAGCGTGCTAAACTCCTGAACTCCAAGTCTCCAAATCTCCGACGCGCTAAACACTCAAACTCAAACCGCAAACCCCTCGAAGACCTAGGCAACTCAGTCCCTCAGCAGCTAAGCCTTTAAGTACATAAGTATTATACCATGAACCGTAACGGCTTAAGAATATGAGGGCAAGGCAATGCTGCAGATGTGTCGATTTACGGTTCGGGGTTTGACCGTACTGTTTTCGGGTGTAGTTTGGGGCGTTAGGTTGTGGGGCTTCAGGGCTTATGGTTTCGGGGTTTTGCATGTGAAGGTTGAGACGTTTAGCATGTGAAGGTTGAGAGTGTAGGATATTCGATCAGGAACAAAGCAATGCCTACTTTTGTTAGCTTTGGAGATGGAGACTCCTATAAACAATATGGGGATACGCAGTGCCTGTATGCAAAGCTGTCCCGATTCTAGCAAAGCCCGTGCTCCTGAAAATTGGAGAACCCTTTACCCCTTCAGACTAATATCAAGGCTACTGCAAGCCCTTTTAAAACCATTGCTACCCAGTCCACCGTAGCCTGATGCCCAGGGCCTTCTACTTTGCACTCCTTCTGGAGTGCTAAACCAAAGCAGCAATGTCAGTGTTGACATGGCTACTTGGCTGCCTAGCTCTGTACGAATCCTAGCCTGACCCCGAAGCCGTAAACCCTAAACCCTAAAACCCTAAACCCAAAGCCCCTGAACCCTAAACCCTAACCCCTGAACCCTAAACCCCTAAACCCCTAAACCCTAAACCCTAAACCCTAAAACCCTTGAACCCTTTACATCAGCCAAGCCAACTCCCCAATTCCGGCACCCCCTGAGCCAAGAGGCCTCAAAACCCTAATGTAGGGGCCTTAAGAATTAGAACAGGGTTCCTTTAAAGGGGGCTATAAGAGTTACAATAAGGGATCTATAAGGGTACTATTATTTCGGTGCCTTAATCATTAGAATAGGGTTTGGGGGGGGGGGGTAGATTATATAATAAATGCAAGAAGGAACCCACAAAACCCTGTTCAAACTACTAAGCTCCTTACATAAGACAAAACCTCAAACCCAAAGCCAGCCTCCACCCCCTACAGGCTGATGCAAAGGGTTCAAGGGTTTTAGGGTTTAGGGTTTAGGGTTGAGGCCTCTTGGCTCAGGGGGTGCCGGAATTGGGGAGTTGGCCCGATCCCTAAACCGGCAGCAAGAGAGCTTCCAAGCTCTCTTCGTGCGGCTTCCTTAGGGGCCTTAGGGGTTTAATGTCTACTTGGAAGGGCTTTGGGGGGCTTAGTAAGGGCTCCTTAAAGGGCTCCTTAAAGGGATCTATAGGGTTCCTTAAAGGGGTCTATGGGGTTTAGGGTTTAGGGTCTACTTGGAAGGGTAGGGGATTTAGTAAGTAGTTTATAAGTATAAAGTTATAAGTACCCTAAATGGAGTTACCCCAAGTATAACCCTACTTATAACCACCTTACTAAGTCCCCTGCCCCTCCAGGCAGGGGCTCAGGGGTGACAGGGTTTTCCTTGCAGTAGGGGTCTGTATAGGGGCTCAGGGATGCAGGGGGTCTTAACGTGCTTCGCAGGGATCTTTTTCTAGGATGCCCAGTAGTACCCTTATTCCCTTTTTGTAGTCCTAGGTTCCTTATAAAGTTACCCAATACCAAAAGAGAGGCCTTTTTATTCTTAGGTTACTGGGTATCCTAGTTTTAATGGTCATGACAATTTAGGAGAAGAGTTTGGGGTGGGAGTGGGCGAGCTCGGCTGGCGAACTCGAAAGCCCGCCGGGTTTTAGTGGGGTTTGATCTTATTCGTTTGCCTTTGGGTTCGGGCTTTCGGGGAGTTCATGCCTTTTGGTGGTTTGGGGTTTCAGGCTCAGGGTTCAGGGCTTAAAAAGGTTGAGGTCATGGGCGTCACCCTAAACCCCTAAACCCCTAAACCCTAAACCCCTAAACCCCTAAACCCTAAACCCCTAAACCCCTAAACCCTAAACCCCTAAACCCCTAAACCCTAAACCCCTAAACCCCTAAACCCTAAACCCCTAAACCCCTAAACCCTAAACCCCTAAACCCCTAAACCCTAAATCTGCAGGTTGCTAGCAGGGAAGCAGCCAACAATCATGTCTCCGAGTTTTGGTTAATGCAGGCTTCTGATTAGCAAGAGCCTTTCTGAAAGGGCCCTAGTAAAGGTACTTAGAAATAGTTTTTAATTTTTGGTTATTATCCCTAAGAAACAGCTAAAATTATCTTTTTTGCTAGGGTTCCAAGTTCAGTATAGGCTAGTAAAGGATGCCCGCGACAGCGCCTTTAAGTTTTAAGGTCATGGGTCTATTATTCAGTGGCCTACATTCGGCAGTTCATTATGCTTCAGAATGGGTTTGGACGTTCAGGAGGCGTGTAAGGCCTTTGACGAGCGGGGCCACATGTCAATATTCAGAGGGCCTCGGACACCGACGGAGACAAATGGTACAGGGGCTATAGTCTCCTAAGGAATGCTGTTTTTCAGTTCTTGTTCATATGAAACCCACGAGAATATTCAGACTATTCTGTTTATGGTTATGTTTCTAGGGGGGTGTGGGAAGGCTGTTTGAACTTATGCCGTAATATACCCCAAAACCTAGCCAAATCAGTGGAGTCCAAATTTGCATTCGCATTGAAGCGCTGCCCAAGCAAGAATTTATTCCCAAGCATTTGCAGCAAGCACAAGCTGATTGGAGATGTTGGATTTCAGACTCAGACGAAATCCTAAGCCCTCTGAGCACTATGAACCCTAGGCCCTAGAAGCCCTATGAGCCCTCAAAACCCTCTAAAACACCTGCAACACCCTATAAAACACTATAAGCCCTATAAGCCCAAAAAGCCGTAAGCCCTAATCTCTGCCAGTTCAGCGGCCCCGAAGGGGAGGATGGAGTTTTACCTACTGTTTTCCAAACCCTATCCCCGCAACCCCTTAACCCGAAACCCCTAAACCTTGAACCTGCAAGCTGACAGCTTTGTTCATAGACCTTTCTAAAGAAATTAAAGACAAAAACGATAGACACCCTTGTAGATCCTCAAGAACCCTTAAAACAAGGGTGCTTAAGGTTCTATACCCTTACAGAACCTTTTTGAGGAACCCGTATGGTAAGACTTGATAGAACCTTTAGGAACCCTTTGTAGAACCGTGTTTAAGGAACCCAAGGCCCTAAACCCCACAGCCCACTGCAAACCCTTATCCAACGGAATTCTGAACGAACTCTCGCGGCAGCTCTTAAAGGAGCCCTATAAACCCTAAACCCTAAACACCCCTAAACCCAGTGGGCTGGGCTCTCGTACGAACCCGAAACCCTAAACCCCATACCCGAAACCCTAAACTTTAAGTCTGGGTCTAAGCCCTAAACCCTAAGACCTAAATATCCATAAACCCTAAATATCCCTAAACCCACGGGGCTCTCATGCTCAGGCCATTACAGTGGCCCGACGCCTGACGCATCTTCGGCTCGAGGAGCAGTTGGGGGGTCTTGACTAGGTATCGATGTGGGAGAAGTTGTAATATCCTTAACCCTAAACCCTAAACCCTAAACCCTAATATCCTTTGTTGTTCAATAGAGCCCTAATTTTTGTACTGTTGAGATCGACACCTAGTTCAGGGGTTTTACAGGCTTCCTTTTAAAACTGCTTTTTTAAGGGCTCCATTAAGGGGTTTAGGTGTAGGATTTCGGGTCCCTTTAAGGGTTCCATTCAGGGGTGTCGGTTTGCAGTAGAAGCCAGAAAGTTGGAACATCATTATCCTCATGCCCCTTCAGGTAAAGTATAGGGAATCCCAGCACGAATCATCCTGAATTCATGTTCCAAGTTTCTGGGGTTCACTGTAGGGCATTTATGGTTCAGGGTTCCCTCAGGGGTTCGCTTCAGGGTTCTACAAGGGATAGAGGGTTTTTAGGGTTTAGGGTGTTGAAAGTTTGAGTTCTGGGAGGGGAGGGGTTCTAAAATGGGTTGCTCAAAATGGTGTATAAGCTTTGGGGTTCAGGGTGTTCGGGGTTTACGGCATTTAGGCATTTAGGTTTCGGGATTATGCTTTTCGTACGGCATTCGAAGCAATCTTTTCGACGTGTAACTAAGGTTTTCCGCGTGACGGATTTGATTGGGTTCTCGAAGGGTTTAGGGCTGTGTGATGTTAAGGAATCCTTTTGTTCTGGGATGGGTGCAGGGCAAGGAAGAGCTCGCGGGCTGTTGCTGGTGTCAAGGGGTTGGGGTTAAAGGACGTGGGCTGCCAGGATGAAATAAATCTGTGTCGCATTTGCCTAAGTGCTGCGAGCACTATCCACTCCCCCACCGCCACGTGCATGATCTCTTCCCAGAAATTTTGCGGCAACGTGTTGAGGGTGACTTCGAAACCTACCGGTGGCGGATGGCCGAAACTACTACTTGGGGGACGCATTTGGCGGCTGACTCGCTGGCCACTATTTGCGGTGTTCGTGTGGCAACCTGTGCCGCATGCAATGATGTCAGTCCGAAAGCCAATCTTCAACTACCTATAGTCACCATTGTAGGCCCTTTTTCGGTTAACCAAATTTATAGTTTAGGATCCGAACCATAAGACAGGTTAACGAAAAAAAAAAGGAACTACAATGGAGAGTATCGGTACCCTCCAATAATCGGAGCCTTCCAGAGGCCCTGTTACGAGCCCTAAGACTTAAAGCACTTTACGCCGAAACTCTGTGTTCAATAGCGTCAACCACCCTAAACCCGAAACCCTTCATGGAGCCCGGAAGCCAGCCCTTAAAGGAACCCTAAACCCGAAATGCCCCTGAATGGAACTCTTAGCTCTGTGTTCAATAGCATCAACCACCCTGAACCCGTTATAGAACCCTGAAGCAGGCCCTTAATTCAGCCCTAAAGCTTGAGCACACTCTTTTGCATGAGTCAGCAGGTTTTTTGACTTAGGGTTGAGGGGTCTAGGGCTCAGGCCGAGGGTTCAGGTGTCCATGTCATACGGTGGATGATATGGGAGTTTCCCAAAATTACGGGTACCTTATTTTGAGGTCCTTATAACAAGGATCTTACTATTCGAGTATTATAGTAGGGTCGCCTATTTTCGGAAACTCCCATACGTACCTGCACTACCGTAAGGGCCCTAAACTATGGGAAGTATGGTATAGTCCTTAATTATGGGTAATGCAGGATTTATATCATCAACCGTAGTACATGCATGGGCAGAAGGGGGCCCGTATAGGCACCTGGTTTTACGAAGCAAGTGCACACTATTCAGGTACATGGAGCCTTAGGGCTATTCCAGATCCTCCAAGACCCCGTAATTGAGGAATATACTATACTTTAAACCAAAATCACAAGAAGGAGCCCTGGACAGTTTAGGGTATAGCCCTTCGTTAAGGGGTTTTGGAGTCTCTGCCACTAGTTAGTGTGTTCGAAGCCTGGCCTCTCACACCCCGAACCATGCGATCAAGGCTTTTACCGGGTCCCTAAACCAAATCCAAGCCGGAACCACGGAGGCAGGCTACTCTTTCAGAGATCGGTGATGGGGGCTTTGGGTTTAGGGTATAAGGAACACCAGAACACCGGTCGTTTAGGTTACAGTTACACGGAGCTTTGCATGTCGAAGCCCCGAATTCTTGACCCCCGAGTTTGCCAGGATGCCAAAGCAAGCAAGGCAGCAGACAAGCAGACCATCGATGACCTCGTCTCGAGCTACGAGGGTGGTCACGAGGACAGGGGGATGTGAGTTCAGAAAGTACCTGTAGCCGAAAGGGTTTAGGGTTTAGGGTACCTTTTTCGGGTTCCTTATCATGGTTTCTATATATATATATATATATATATATAGTTCCTTAAAAAGGTAGGTCTTTTCGGCTACAGGTAGGTCTTACAAAAGGGGCATCAATACAATGTGAAGCGGTCCAGTGCGAGGGCTCAAATCGCCGCACAGTCGGAATATTTTGCCCCAGTGCGTAGTCGCACGACTCCTTTAGGATCCCGTGCCATTCCGCGCCATAGGTTGGCTCCCCGCTCCCCTGCTTGGCATAGGAGAGCCAGAGCCCATCGCTCCAAGGCTCGCAAACTGCGATCGGCAGGGTTACCGCTGAGCAAAGCTCAGACCTTACTGTTGGTTGGACACCACGCCACAGGTGTCCCCGAAAAGCGCAGCCTCCTGAGGGCACTTGGTATGGGACGACCCAACCAGCGTGGACGCGAGCGAGGATGGGAAAACCAAGGACATGCCAACGCCTCCTACACCTTGTGGCGTGGTGCCTATGCCTCGCCGAAGAGCAAGGCCGAGGCGGATTGGAAGCAGGATGCTTGGAAGGGATGGGATCATCCCAGTACTGCATTTCCGGCTTTCGATGCGGGCCATTATGGAGCCAAGGGCCAGACGGCAGACAAGGAGGCCAAGAACGAGCCCTCTGCGGGCGACTACCTCAGCATTTTCCAGAACAAGCTGAACCACGCCCGCAGAGCGGAGCAGAAGGTCCAAAGGCTGGAACAGGCACGCCTTCGCATGGTCAAGCAATGGAATGCCTACGAGAAGTCGGCTATGGAATCGTTTGCCAAGGAGAAGCAACGATACAGGCAGAAACTGAGCAAACTGCTCACGGATCAACAAGAGGCGGAGAACCACCAAGAGTTGGCACGACAGGCCATCCGAGCCCTACACCTTGCCGATGCTGCAGGGTCCAAAGATCAGTCAGAGCAGATGCCTATGCAGACAGAGCTTGTCGACGAGGACACACTCCGGCTCTTTTCGGAGTGTGGCGAACCACCGGCTGCCGACTGGAATGGTGTGCTGGCCAGGGCGATGCAACCGCCCCCAGCAGTGATCACGCCAGTACGTCCCAGGACTGCACAGCCCAGGTCGCCTACTCAGGCCTCGCGTGGCGAGACGGCGGCATGGCTGGCAGCTCACCCTGGCGGAGTTCAGGAAGCAACCCCTGCACCACTCCGTACGGATCCGTACATTGCGGCCGCGGCACCGTCCCCCCCGGCTCTTACGAGTGCATGCGCCGGAGCTCCGCCTGGTCTCAGTCCTGCTCAGGCGCCGAAGCACCCAGGGCAGAGAGCTATGGAAGAGCTTCGTGTACCCACATCCGAGGCACCGCCCAGGCAGGGGATCAAAGAGGCTACCATGGCCGCCAAGACTCCTCAGGCCCCGCAAGCTGCCCATCCTACTCTCTCCGAGCGGTTGCAGGACAAACGTCACAAGGCCTTTGCGGAGGCAATGGGTGCTGGCAGAGCGATGATGCCCTTCGGGCTTGCACATCTCCCCGCCAATGGCGCACCGGTGCCTACCATAGCGGGTTTCCTGGGCGACGATTTCGAAGAAGACTCGGCCTACGAGCTGTCACCAGAGGAGATTGCTACACTTACGAAGAGCAGGGCAGAACAATCGGCACCCAGGGAGTAGCATCTCACGACCTGAGCTGCTCCAAGCTGCCCCTCACAGGTAGCCACCTGAGCTGTTTCCGTAGGCTCAATGCCTGCGTGAACACTTGGATCAGCTCTCTGGTTGGCAGACTGCGGAGTACCATGGCACGCAAAACCTGCCCCTGGCTGGGATGTTTCAGGTTTTCCGTTCGCCTATTGCACCTTGGTCAATGCCCTCTAGAGAAGCTGATTCTAAGTGGCACGCACGGCCTCGAGCGGTCTCACTTCTGCGATCTGAGTCTAGTTTGTACAGTTTTGATGCGCAGCAGTGACACCAATGTGCCTCGACCCTGCTGGGGACCGTCCCAATCTCCTTTGGCCAGTTTTGCCCTTGGCCTCACCTCGCTGAGCAACTCTGAAGGCTGGAATTGCTGGGTTTGCAATCTCCGCCCCAGTGCTGCTTCTGTCTCCTCTGCCGCCGTGTGGATGCATTGGGTTTTTGCGTCCGCACGTACGGCCCTGCCTGCCTGCTGTCAAGATCAATGCGCCCCTGGATTTGGCTGCTATCTTGCACAGGCTCAGCCCTTTCTTCCGGATGCCTACCCTCATACCTGCATACCCGACCCTAGTTCAGGTTTAGGCCCGGTTTTCTCCCTTGCCGTCTCGCTTCTTGAACGGCCGCAGTTTTGTGGGTACGCATTTGTGTACCGCTGGTCCCCTGTACAAGAGCATGTTGCTGACCGCATGCAGGTGCCAAAAAGCTACATCGGTGGCTCAGGGGTAGCTACCTCGCATGCTGTCGACCTCACGTCAACTGGCTCTCTTTGTGATAAGGTGATATATGCTCTGGAGAACGCCCTCCGAGCTGTAGCCCATACCCTTGCTGGCATCGTGCTTGCGTCTCTTCTGCTGCTTTATGTCAGCACTTTTCGCAGGCGGTCAAGCAGGTTTTCCTCCACGACAGGTGGCACTTCCGCCATTACCGATGTCCTGCCCTTGTGGGTATAGGCTCCCCCTCTAGGTCCTCCTTGGGTTGCCCTAGGATCCTGATTCCCCCCAAACACCTGCAAAGAGCCAAACCATCCTGGATTGGATATTTCTGCACATGCCTCCTTCGATGGATTCTGGTTTGGAGTCTTCCGATTACTGCAATGAGTGCACCGCCTTCTGGTTCCCACCTTGTCCCAGCACCATTGCATCCTCGGGACGTTCCTGCAGGTAGAGTGTACCCTGAGCCTCCGGATCCCCTAGGCCCAGGTCTGGCCCTCCCGCCCAACCGGGCACCGGATGTCATACATCCCTCTGTCAGCCCACCGAAAGGGCCCCCGCCACCACAGCCTGTGCGATGGGAACTACCAGCTCTTGCGAGGCAGACTGTCCCGGCCCCCACACATGACGTCCAATGTCATGCTGTCTTTTTGTTCCCGGGGTTTCATGCCGAGTCTATCACGTTTCCCCTAGGTCTTCCATGTGATGTGGATGACCTTGTCGATGCGGCCGAGCGCCGCCTTGGAGAGCTACGCCCTTCTTTCACTGACAGAGTCATTCCAGTTAGACCGCAACCACTTCCGGAAGTCGCCACGCTTTTGGTGGCCCCGGACTGGACAGCCTATTCCTCCCTCTCGCTCGTTTGCATGGACCTGCGGGATTTAGGTAACCGGCATCTAGGTCCCCTTACTTCGGTTTACGTCACGAGACCCACCTGCCGGGCCGAATTGTGTCGTCAGGCAGGGGTTTACGGGGTAAGACCTTGTAAGGTTTTCATAGGAACGGAACTTTTGCCCCAGGAAGACGACGAGGCTGTGACCCTAGCCAATGGGTGTGTGGTGACTTTTCTCCGTGGAGACCTCCACCCCAACCATGCAACAGATTTGCAGTATAGGCTACAACTCCCCCACACATGGCGGCTGGATGTTTCCGTACCGGATCTGTCGAGGCCTAGGGCCCTGCTGCTCCTGCATAGCACAGGCAGGTACCTTTTCCGTGCGCAAGCCAGTCAGCTACCTGTTGATGAAGCCGCGGCCAGATTCGTTGGTGTAGCTAGAGAGGCCGTGGAATTTCATGCGCCACGAGGCGATGGGTGTTCTCGCCTTCAACATCAGTGCGTGGACACTCGAGGAGTCCCTGCTCTGGTTGACCCCAGCGCTCTTCCTCCTGAGGTTCCACAGTATGTGATTTTCTTGGACCTCAGACAAGTTGCTTCCACGATCCACTTCCTGGTTCTGGATAGGCCTTGGATCCCCAAAACCGATCTTCTTGCCCTGGCCGGTCGCCAACCACCGCCGGGTTGGCGCCTTCGTGTTCTAGGAGGCCGCATGAGGCGAGGCCGCCTAGAGGTTCAGCAAGGTGCTACTTTAGTCTTTGGGTTTGAGTTTGTCGACATGGTTTCTGACAGCTCAGATGCACCTGATGCATCAACTTCTGAGGATGACCACCAGGAATCGGATGAAGAAGGCGACACGGATGCACAGGACACAACCACTGCCCCTGCCGATTCGGACGGTGAGCACCTCTTTGCAGACGATCCCAGATTTGCACGCTCCACATCCAGGTCCAGAGGCAGATCCAGGTCTAGATCCCCTACAGGATCGCATGCGCTGCCATCCAGGACATCTGCAGCTCTCACTGCCGGTGCTCTCACTGCCGCCCTGAGTGCGGCCTCACCCACTGGAGCTGACGGAGCACACTTCTCTGCCCGTCATGTTGAGGTCATGGAGCCATGCTCTCCTCTTGACTGTTTTGCCAACAGGTGCCCCCATTTGGCTACCGCCAGCTGTCTGTTCTTGGCTTTCATGTGCATGTGCCTCCTTCTTAGGGCTTTAGGCAGGTTTAAGTGCTTCGCCTCCACTGGACACCCGTGTGCCTGGCGACCCCTTGCCTGCAAGACCCTAACTCCCCTGCCCTGCAGAAATTCCTCCGATAGGCAGCGTGTCCGAGGACTTCGCAGAGTTACCCAGGATTTCGGAGATGACTGGCCTCTGCCCACGGACGACGACTCGCCTACACTGTCGTCGGATGAGCCTGAGTCTTCTGACATCGTCTCCGATACAGGGTCGGTCGCATGGGCCACTATCCTGATCTATACACCCCTGTACGCTCCGGAATGGATGACTCTGGCCTTACATTTTCCGAGCACGTATGGGGAAGCTGTTGCTGTTATCCAGGCAGAACGGGACCCAGCACAGGCCAGGAGATTCCCCTTTCTTACACCGGCCGACCCACAACCCATTCCCGGAGCCGGTGTTTTCGTGGCGCTCGCACCCATGGAGCATGCACAAAAGACCATATTCCTGGATGCCACACGTTGGGACGGGCGTCACTTCGCCACATTGGCCCCGGACTACATCAACCCTGTGGTGCTCAGACACCTGTGCGACTTGGCGCCTGGCTCTGATGCAGCCTTCTTCGTAGGGCATGATGCTCAACCCCGTCCTGAAGAGGCTTCCATCCATGTTTCCAATGGCTTGGTTGTGGTCGTTGCACAGGTGCAGGCGCCTCTTCCTGCTGCAGTTTCGATTGACGTCATGTTCAGACGTCCAAGCTTATGGTCGCAGCACTTTGCGTTTCCGCCCGATGACCGGGTGGTGTACTGTGTGGTCGAGGACCAGCAGAATGTCCACTTCTCATACCAGAATGAGCGCCCCACCCAGTACAGGCACCAACTTGCAGCCGCACTTCGCATCCCTTACGCGCAACTTGTGCTATACCCAGCCAACCCTCGAGTGGAGGACGCCGTCCTTGATGGCATGCCCTGCCGTACTGTGGTTGCCGCTGCCCAGCTCCCTGCTACCGACAGACATCCCCAGACCTTTCTGGTCCTTCTGGATTGCAGGCCATTCTATGCAGGGTGGTGCTCCTTCCTTGTTAGGCAGGGCTTGCTCAATGTTCGGGCTGTTGAGGTTGCTATGTCCCGTGACCTCCCTGATGGATGGTCCCTCCGCTTACCGGAAGTACCACCTGGTGTGCTGCATTACCAGGTTACTCCAGGACAGGTGATCCAGGCTGAGGCTGCCCCGCCAGCATTTCACTCTCCCACTGATGCCGTTGATGGTGCACCAGACGATCCCCAGACCCAACCCGGCCCTGTTGAGCACCCATCCTCCTCTGGAGATGCTCCCCGCTCCGTCCCTCCCATGGATCACAGTGCCGTTGACCATGCAGCAGGTTTGGGTGACGACACAGGTCCCACAGCTAATGTCAGCGATCTGGAGGACGAGTTCACTGACCTTCCTTTTCTGGTTCTTATACCAGAATATCTGCCTGAAGTGGTCAGGGTTCGGGTCAGGCTACCGCAAACGGTCCATGGTGTTCTGGCACGAGTTTCGGCTGCTAGGATGCCTAATGCCAAGAGACGGTTTCCGAGGTTGCTGCCGGTTCCTACGCAAACCTTTCCCGAGAGAGGGGTACTTATGGCAGCGCCGGTCTGGGATGTGCCTACTGTGCTGCTGTGTGTTGACTGTCGAGTGGATAACAGGCTCTTTGCTGTCGCTGCACCACCGCTTTTCAGGTGGCGCGACGCGCTTCGCCTCGCTGGACTACCGGATGATGCCCCTGTGCACATCTACTTCAATGACACACCATGGCCCATAGGCGATGACACAGTTCTTCAGCCTGCTCTGGCGGATTTGGTGTTGATTCTGCCAATGAATCACCGAATCTTCCCCTCTACCAACCTATCAGACATGCTTCAGCATAGTGCTGGGTGGAATCATAGAGCAGCTTATCCAGGCAATTTCCAGGATACGGCATGGATTCTGGCCGACGAGCTTCATTTCGGGTTTTTGGTTCGAAGAGGACGTCGACACTTGATCCGACAGGATCTCGCAGACCGCCTTGGGTGTGAGCCAACCCAGTTGCTTCTGCGTCCGGCGGCCCCATGGGTAGCCAACCACATGCACGACGGGTTCATCACTAAGGCTGTGGTTGTTGCGAACATCCTACCGCCAGGGATCACATACCACATGCAACGTGATCCTATCGTCATTCTGGACTTACGCCCCCTCCTGCTCGGGTTTAGTTGGGTCAGAGCCCCACGTCATAGTCTTGATCACCAGGACTTACTTGCTAGGTTCGGTCCCAGATGCCCATTAGGTTTCGAGATTGCTTTCACGCACAGGGACTTTCGCACACTTCCCTTGCGTGGGCCGATCGATGTCCAGGATGGAGAGGTTGTGGAGGTGGAGCTTTTGACCCACACGCAAGCGCGTGAAGCATTCTTGCCGCCGTCACCTCCTAGACCTCCTCCGACCCTGCCCCAACGAGCACGCCGCCATCCAATCCACCCCAATCACAGCCGCCCGCAACAGTGGATGCAGGCACGGGTGGCACCAACCGTGAAGGTTTAAGGGCAGCCGTCCTACCTGATGCGCACCCCGCGCGCTCCCTGTGCGCAACTGACTCCTTGCGCCCGGCTAGCCTTGATGACGCGCACCTTCTCCTTGTTCCGTCCCCTTCCCTGCACAGTCGAGTAGCCAAGTGTTTCCGTGTGCCTTCTCCCACTAACGCCAGCGCACCTGGCAGCCACGGATCCACCCCTGTCCTCCTGTGCAGTTGTGGTAAGGGCTCCTTTGAGGCCCTAGATGCATTTCCTACTGCAGGCCCCACTCGAAACAGGTCTCAAGCGCGCTGGAGGCCCAAATGCACCTCTCTCGTCTGGGTCCTGATCGCCTTATCTTGGTGCCTTCGCACAGCCGCAGCTGTGTCACCGCCGCGGGATTGTCTTACTCCCACGCGTACTCGGCTGCTTCCCAGTTCGGCAGCCGCTCCTCATCCACGCGTCTCTGCACTTGCGTACGCTTCTCAGGCCCCCCGAAGCGGCAAGGCCCACGTTGAGCCTCCCAGACCATTGCCCACCCCGTGCAGAGCGTTGAGTACTAGTCTGCCTCCACGTCCGAGACATGAGGGTCCTGAAGATGCGGAGCTCCAGCTCCTGACTTTATGGGCAGGTCCTCCAGACGCCCTCCGTCAGGGCGGCGGGCTTGCTACACATTTCTGCACACTGCTGTGCATGTCTGTACAAGACCCATGCTGCCCAGGATTGGCTGTAGCTGCAGCCACCCTCTCTGTGCTTATGGAAGCTTTCCCACCTACTGGTGCCCAAGGGGCTAAACCTCAGGCCATAATATTGAATGCCCTGCTGCCACATGGTGGTCCGGCGGTCATGCCGGAACCCCTTGCCTTTGGATCTTTTCACCTGACCCCAAGTGCACACTCTGTGCCACATGAGGAACCGCTTTCACTTGGAGGTACACCTCTTGGGTTCTCCATTGGTGACATACTCCAGCTGTTCAGCTCTTCGGCTCAGGTGCATTCCCTTGAGGAGGCCTTTTCGCATTGTCCCGCCCTCTCCGAATGGTCGGCGCATACTTGCCGTTTTGAGATCCAGAATCTCACCGCCGGGCTTGCCCCTGGCACGCTTCTTTGCTACACTGACGGGTCCTTTACTGCCGCTGAGGAGCATCATGCTGCCAAATGTGGATGGGCATGTGTGTTTGTTGACCCGCATGCATGCCAGCTCGGTGCTGCTTACGGAGCTGTGGACCCCAGGCTTTGTGAAGAGCCTTACACCCCCTCGCCGTTTGTGGGGGAGTGCGCGGCACTTTTGCATGCCTGTCTCATCTCCTGTGGTGGTCTGTGCCACAGGCCCATTGGGTTTCTGTCCGACTGCACCTCTGCTTCTGACGTTGCGCGGGGTGCTGCCACATACACTTTGGGGGGCATCAGCCAGGCAATGCGCCACATCTTTGATTTCAGACGTGCTGTTTTCATGCAGCCAGATTCAGTTGAGCATATTGCGGGACATGCAGGCCATTTTGGTAACGAGTTAGCCGACCGCTTGTCCAAATATGGCGCGTCACTTTCTCCTCCTACTGCAGGCCTTTGCATTCCGGATGCTCTCTTTTGCTTCTGGCTTACACAAGGTGCTCCCCTCATCCCGTGGGCGGCTACTGCTATTCGGAGTTATGCTGGCGACCCGACCCTGCCGCACCTTAACTCCGCACAGCTCGGTGACGATTCCAACCATTTTGGCATGAGTGTTGGCCAAATGCTAGCTCCCTTCCTCCCACTTGGTACCGATGCTGAGTTGCACCCAAGGAAGGATGCTGCACCGAATGATTTGGCCCCTGCCTCCTCAGCATCTTCTGCCACGGTACGCACTCAGATGGCCTTGGCCACGTTCAATGTGCTCTCCCTCAGTGATAGGTTTTGTGACCCCATAGCACCCCAAGCCCATAGCGAAGGGTTAGCCATGCACCCTGGCCGCGCCCAGTTACTGGCTGCCCAACTCACGGATCACAGCATTCAGGCTGCATGCCTCCAGGAGACCCGCTGCGACTCTGGAGTCTACCGTTGCGGCCCTTATGTCAGGTTCTGCTCAGGCGGCTTGAACGGCCAGTTTGGAGTCGAATGGTGGTTCCAAGATGGCTTCAAGTTCTGCACGACGGTAGCTGCAGGCACCCCAGCCAGCATCTCCTTTAGCGAGAACCTGTTCACAGTTGTACTCTCGGACCCCCGTAGACTTTTTATCCGCTTAGCGTGCAAAGCCACCCGCGTTTTCTTTGTCGGCCTGCATGCCCCTCATCGGGCGACTGAAGCAGCAACGCTCGAACATTGGTGGCAAGAGACTCACGCTCTCATTCGCAATCATGCCATGCGGGACAACATTGTTTTGGCGGGCGACTTTAATGCGTCCATCGGCAGTAACCCCTCGGACTATGTCGGGGACCATGCTGCCGAGCTTGAAGATCCAGCTGGTGAAGCTTTGCATTCGGTGTTGAGCGAGTTTGATCTCACTATCCCTGCCACGTGGGACGCTTTTCATGTTGGCGATTCTCACACCTATGTGCAGAAGCGTAATGGCCAGCTTTGCAGACCGGACATGGTGTGCATCCCGTCGGCTTGGTGCAAGGAATACTGCAAATCCTATCTGGCCCCGGGACTCCATGTTGCGCACTGCAGTCCAGACCACACAGCTGCAGTTCTCGAGGTTGCTTTTCACTCTGCCACCGGTATGCTCGGAGCCGCCCCACGCCAACGTCGTTTCCCGGTCAGCCTCTTCAGTGAGCCCACCAATCAAGCCAAAATTGGTGCGGCCTTGCGGAGCTTTCAGCCCCTCCCCTGGGATTGTTCAGTGCATGCCCACGCAGCACATCTGGTTAGCTACGTGCAGCAGACTTTGGGATCGGTCAAATCCCATCGCTCTGCGGGACCTCACCAGTCCTATCTGCGCCCGGCCACTTGGCAGCTCCAACGAACTGTGGCTGCTACTCGCCGGTCCCTTCATCGTCTCCAACGCCAGGTTCATATGCAGCTCATGGCGGTCTGTTTCCACCTGTGGCGTGGCACTAATCTGCTCTCCTCCCTCGTGGAAGGAGCCACCTGGTGGCGCCGTGCGGACCTCGCCTTGGCAGCCCACCTCAGTGTCTTGCGCCACCAAGGACGCCATTTAAAGCTAGCTTGTAAGCAGGACCGCAACCTTCACTTAAGTCAGCTTGCGGACCAGCTCTCATCCCGTCCGACCTCAGAGGTTTTCAGCAACCTGCATAGGCTTCTGTCCCATAAGCGCAAGAAACCTTATCGTGCAGACCCCCTCCCCTCTATTCGTGACGCGGAGGGAAAAGTATGCCCCGATTCGGATTCCAGCCTCAGGCGCTGGCGCCAACACTTTGGGGGCTTGGAAGGTGGCCGTGAGGTAGCCCTTGAGCACTTTCTCACTGAGGCCCAGAACCGCATCAACCAGAGTGCCACAGCCGTTGTTGCATGGCCGGCGCCTCCAGACATCCGTCTCCTGCCCACATGCGCCGACATTCGTCGCCTTCTTATGCGTGCGAAGCCAGGCAAAAGCCCGGGGATGGACGGGATACCCAATGAGTTTGGACGTATCTTTGCTGAGATTTTGTCCCCTCATCTGCACCATCTTGCCTTGAAAACCTCATGGCGAGGTTCCGAAGCCCTGGGTTATAAGGCAGGTCAGGCTATTTGGCTTTACAAAGGCAAAGGCAGTTTCCAGGAATGCACTTCCTACCGGTCCATCCTACTCCTCCCTGTATGGTCCAAGATTGTCCATCAAGCCCTGCGACCGCCAATGAAGAGTTTCTTTGAACACCAGGCTCCCAGTTTGCAGCTCGGGGGTAAGTCCCAATGCACTGTCATGTTTGGCAGCCAGCTCATCCGGGGTATTAGTAGGGTTGCAATAGCG